GTCTGACTTCCATCCGCGTACAAGAAACAGCTGGATTTGCTGTAGTAATAATAATAATATCAGCATTTTTGAACAAGCCAATAATTTCTATCATAGGTTCATACAGGTAGGAAAGTAACCTAGAGCCTCTGGGTTGCTGGTGACCTGCAGGATTGCAGAAAGTCCCCATCAGCACAAGCTCTCACTGCCCAAAAATGAGCATCAAATTCAGGGAAGTAAAAGAAAGATGCTCACATGACAGTCAGTGTCTTTCCAGAAGTGACATACCGTCCTTCTCTTCCCCTCATGTGAGTATTTGGCTCACAGACTGAAAAAACACGCTATCAAGTAACATAAAAACACGCTTTTCCAGGTGAGAGGAGCATGTAGAGATACGAGAGAGGCTGGAACAGGGTAAAAAAAACACCCAGCACCAGGAAGGACCTGCTCCTGCACAATCCATTCCCTTGCCTTGTTATTGCCTCCTCCAACTCGGCAGGACTCTGCAGGAGTTGGGCACAGCACAGGAAAATCCCCAGAGGAATTGCAGTGCTGGAAAACCAGCTTGGTGCAGTGTTCACTTCATACATCCCAGCATACCTAAAGAAAATGGAGTCCCAACAAAACCAGTTGGCCTGGCAAGCAGAGATGGGCTAACTCAACCCATCAGTATGTGCTCAATGAAATACCTCCGTGACCAGATGGATGGGATTTGGAAAAAGTACACTTGCTCCAAGTCCCGGGACTGCAGCCAGTAGATGGCATTCATATGCTATCGTACGCATACGTATGCTATCATATGCTATGAGGCTTAAACTGCCTTGGAAAACACGAGAAGAGTATTTTTCATAAAAAAATGAAGGTAAAAGGCAAATATTCACTTTAGCCGGAGATGAGCCTGAGGACTTCGATAATTAACTTTGGAGCCATCAAGTGTTACAGACTTCCTGGCATCTCCTTCTGTCCTCATAGATCTTCTGTCTGCTTCTAATATAGAAATATGTAATATAGATAAAGAAATATAATGCATCCCTAAAGCATCCATAAGTATCCTGTGTATCCTGGACCATAGGGATGCCCAAAACATGAGATGCGAGCGAGGGATACCCCATCATCCCCTCTGAGGTCTGACCCAGGATCTACCAGGCTGAGCACGCACACGGCGAGGAGCTGCCGGCATTTGGCTAGCACTGATGTGTGTCGCTTTCTCTACAGTGGCATCCACTGGACTGAGGAAATACTGTCCTCAGCACCTCGTCCCACAGGAGCCGCTCATCCTAAGAGAACAACAATGTCGGCATGGAGCTACGCCACTTGCGTTTGTAAGGGCTGGAAACCAGCCATCTCCCTGCTGAGGTCCAAAGGTCCCCGTTCCCAACACGTGGGACATGTGAGCGCCCAGCAGGCACACGCGGTTACAGGAGAAGGATGGAATGGGTGAAGTGATGGGAGAGGCGCGGTGTGTCCTAGGTGGGCAGCCAGGGAGTGTGCCAGAGCAGGGCCTTGCGAGACTGTGACTTTACCTGCAGCACACACAGCACATCAGCCCTTCTCCTGAGCCTGCAGACCTCGGCTGGTGCCGCTGGAGAGCCCCAGCACCATGCTGAGACTGCATGAGAGGGCTGCATGAGAGCCAGGACCAAGACAGGACTCCTTACCATAACAGAAAAAGAGGTGCAATAGGTAGACTGCTTCCACCACACAGCACTCCTCCATCTCCCCACCACGCCCTGATCTCCAGATCACCACAGCCCTTCTGCCCACCGAACAGCCCCGACAAAAAGCACATGCATCGTTTGCAGATGGTAACAGGAAAATCCCAGGGCAGCAGGCACAGGCAGACTTCACAGTCCTGCTCTATCAGTTGATATAATAAAAGAGATGTCCTCTCTCAGACCGTTTCTGCTAAGACTCAGAAGACAAACCCTTACACTTCCTTCACTTGGGGGTCACTACTAAAGCTAGAGCTACCTTCATCTTTGTACAGCACCAAGCACGTTGGCTGCACGATGCAAACATGGCGGGGATTTTTGACAGCAGACATCAAACTAACCCTGCCTCTACCAGCAGCTGGGTTGAGGCTTTGGCCAGAGCTGGAGGGAAAGCTGTTTGCTGAAGCCCAGGAACCAGAAGGCAGAGATGTGAGCCCAAGTCTGGAGCAGGTGAAAAATCACTGCTTCTTCATTCACTTTTAGATTTGCAAAGGAACCAGCAAAGGTCTCGGGCTCTAATGCAGTCACAGACATGCTGGAAGCAAGGAACAGGGGTTGATCCCCCAGCACAAGGAGGACTGTCTGTCGGGTCTGTCTGTACAGCCCCTGGCACCAGAAGAGAGACCAGTGCCTGAGGTTTAGGTACAAATCAGCTTTACATGTGCAAGGCAAGATGGACCATTAAATCCTGCATCCTACCACACGCTGAGGCCACCTTTTACTTTCTCAGTGAATGATGCACTGTATTAAAAAGCCCTCCTCTTCCCACCCACCCCTCCCCAGCTCCCACACCTCCTCTAGGACCAGATCCTGCTGGATGATGGGCATCCCTCCCTCCCACTGAAAGCAGCAAGGAGACAGTGTGCTCAGCCCCTGGCAGCATCATTCATCCGGAGGAAGAGTGTAGGGAGATATTTGGTACCTCGCAGCCAATTGGAAGAGAGGTGACACTGAAAGGGGGGTGCTTCCAGCTCCTCTCTCCACCCATCCTCCATAACACCCCCCTCCCTGTCACCACCACCACCGCCATCCTCCTCACACACAAAAGCAGTGAAATTAGCTGACTTAAGAGAGCTGAGGCTTAGCCAGCTGCAAGCGGAAAATAATAATAAAATACCTTGGAGGGGAGGGAGGCAGCAGAGGAAACAGCAGCCATGGAAGAATACAAATAACTGCCCTCAATTCCCCCCCACCCAGCAAAATCCAAATCACAAAGCAACGATTGCTGTGAGAAAGGCCGACCTAGATGCATCCCCACACTCCTCCGCTGAGAAAGCCGCACACATCTGCATCCGGATCCAGGCACTGGACCTCCTGAGCAGCCCATCTCCGTCGGGAGGAATGCCTAGCTGGGATACAGGCAGGATCTTCTTTGTTCCTCATTAACCACAAGCATCGGTGAGTACAGCATCATCTGGGCTTCCATACTGCTGGGCAATGTTTGATGTTAAGAAACATCAGACTCCAGCCTGGCATTTGCTTCAATGCCTTTCTCTTCCTCCCTCCATGATGCCTTCAGGGTTAGCAGAAAGCAGATGACAGCGGTGGGGAGGAGGGAGGGAAGGTGGGGTCTCTCTGAGGCCCAAGGTATCTCCTTTGCCTGCATGTAAGGAAATAAAAAATGGAGACACATGTGACCGTGTCATGGGCATCGCATGCAGCCAGGCGTGGGGGTGAGGACAGAATACATAATGTGCATGCTGGGAGGACAGGCTGAGAGACACCGGCCAGGGAGAGAGCCCTGCAAGGCTCACAGCCAGCTCTTTGCTCCGATTCCTATCTCTGCCAGCGCCTGTAATAAAGACGGATGCTGGATTTACTCAGGCCTCTACGTAGCTTCATTCCTTTAAAGCAGATACACACAGACAGATTTGTCTCCCTCCAGATCTTCACCAGCGACACCCTCTGTAAATTCAAGCCTCCAAAGGAAGCAGAAGCAGCACTGGCTCTCTAGAAGAGCCTTATAGCAATGGGTCAAACTCTGCTAGATGCTGATTTCCCTGACATCAGGGGACAGACAGAGTAGCTCCATCCACTTGGGAAACCACCCTAGGTCCCTTATCCCCAAAAAAAACCCCATTACTATCCAGCCAGTGCCTGGGTACATTTACAGTGTAAAGGCTGAGCTCAGGAAGAACATTCAAAACTGTCCTGCAGTGGATGGGTTAATGCATGTGCCCAACATACAAGCCGATTTCACTTGAACATGTTCTATGCAAGATAAGGCCTGACCTTGTCCTCCTCCAGGCTCAGGTGCTACTAAGCTCAGCTGCAGCAGCATCCAGCTGAGAGCAGTGTATCTGCTTTCTAACCTGCAAGGACTGGTCCTGAGCCCTCAGCCAGACTTTGTTAGGAGTTGCAGGTGCAGTTCCTGGGAAATAGGTACAAAGGTCTGATTTTTGCTGGCTGGCAGCATAGGAACCTTCTAGTGAAGGCAAACAATATATGGTTCTAAGGACCCCTCGCGCTGCTGGGCTGTTAGTATGAGTGACAACAAGGCTCACTGGATTTGAACTTCTGTTCATACCAGTGCTGGAGAAAGCCCAAACTGGGAACAGCACACCCACCTTGCCTCCATTTGAGGTGCTCCAGTTTTTTGGCATCTGCTTTGGTTTACCTGGGAGCAAGTCAGAGATGTGAATTCTTCAGGGGTGTGGAAGGACATTCAACATCCCTGCGAAGGCCTCCTCGCCCTCCTCCATTTCTCTCTGGGTGCGGGGACAACCATGGGGATGGAGCACAGACCAGGCAGCAGTAGTCAGGAATTTCTCTGCAAAACCAAAGCCATTAACTTCCGCCCAGGCCAGAAAAATGGAAACTGGTGCCACTGCCAAAACAACCTGAAACCAGCCTGGGAGGAGCTATTTCTTCTCTTCCCTTTCAGCCACATTTCATTTCCCTCAGCAGAGGTGCTTGTTAATGTTGAGATTAGTATTGGAAGAGAAGTAGCAAGGGAAATCGGGTGGGCATCAGCCCAGACCGTGTTGATCCTCAGGGAGAAGAGCCAAGGTCACAACAGAGCAGAGATATACCTGTTGCTTTGATCCAGGGCCAACCTCACTTCTTCTTTCTTGTCCAAGGTGTGTCAAGTAACCACAAAACCCCATGTCCTTGCCTTGTTCCTTTTGCAAAACAAGCAGCTACCATGCTGCTTCTCTGCGGAGCATGGTATCAGCGTACCTGCACTGAACGGTTCAGATTAAATGCTCCCCGGTAGCGATGCTCAATGCCAACCTCTCTGCCTTCCACCTTCCAGCCTGCGCCCTTCCTTGAGGGAACCACTGTGCAGCCAAACCCTCTCTGAACACGATGGGAACCACAGAAGCCACTTTGCGGATGGAGAACGTGGATGTGAAGGAGGAGTGGCAAGACGAGGACTTCCCCAGGTTTGTTCCCTGCAAAAAAGCCAGGGAGAATTTTATTTCTTCCTGTAAGAAACCAGCAGGGCATGGAGCATGCAGGTCCCTCCCACCAGCCTCAGAGGCAATGGGAGTCTTAACTCCAACAGGGCAATTCTGGCCAGAGAACAGAGCTTTTGTAGCAAGGCTGCTCTGAATGCTTAAAAATTTTTGGGAGGCTTCTGGCAACCCTCTGTGAGCATGCCAAGGAGAGGGTAAGGAGCCGGGTGCGGAGGACAGGGAGATTAGCATGGATGGATGCGTGCATATAGGACGGATGGATGCATATAGGGATGGATGGATAGATGGACTCCTTCCCAGTCTCTGAATCAAGCAACGTCTCCCCAGGCAAAGCAAATGCTGCTTCACCAGGAATTTGCCACAGGAAGCGGAGTCATTGGGATGCAATGTCCGCTGGCACTGACATGCAGAATCTGAATTGTTGCAAACCTTGTAAGAAATAATGCGTGGGTGACAGAAGGTGCCAAAGTGGCAGCTTTCACCTTCACAGATACTTTATTAACTGCAGAGTGCCAAAAAAAAAATCCCTGTAAGCTCAGTGTGTGCTGAACTCCCTGCAGCCACCCAAAAGGTGCACCCACCCTCATCCTCGCCCCAGCGTTGCCCCACACGTCCAGTGCTAAAGCCCATGGCCCAGCAGCAGCTCGCTGGGGCACACACAGCATGGCCAACACCAAGCCTTGCTGCAGCTGGGGTCTGGGCTGCTGAGGGGCTTTTCAGGGCTGTCTCGCCCTGTCCCAGCTGCAGCTGAATTCCCCCGGGCAGCCCACAGAGCCCCTGTATTCACAGACAGAGGCGCAGTGTGCTGTGCGGGTGGGCATGCACAGCCCCTGCCGTGCTAGAAAGGGTCTCCTGTTTCCCCTGGCATCGGCAGATGAGCTTAGCTCTGTTTACCCTGGGTCCAGCTGCATCGCTAATCTAAGCACCTCTGTCTGCCAGCCCAGCACCCGGCTCACAGGACATGGCTTGTCCTTCCGCTGGCCCCAGAGGTGGGCTCAGACAAGCCCTTGGGTTTCTAGGATGGATTTTTCTTTCCTCTGAGAGCAGAGCTGGGCAGAGCTTTGGGCTGGTGGACCTCTGCCAACCTAAGGCTCCCCCCGAGTGCTGTGCCAACAAGCTTTTAATTGAGTAGAAAGGAAAGTGAGGTACAGAAAGGAAAGCATTGACCCAAGGCTCCCTAGAAAATCTGGGGACAAAACCGTTCTAGCACCTGGATACCTAGGCACTAACCCACACCATCATGTTGGAGCAGGAGCTGCCAGGCTCCGTTTCGCACTTGCCATGCAAGCAGCAAACTTACCCCAGCCACAGTCAAGCCTTCAAGGGGTATTTCTTCTGCAGAGCCCTCTGCACCACCTAACACGGGCATCATCGCTCCTGCCTGGCAAACAAAGCACAGGGAGAGGCAAAGGGATGTGACCATGGCTGGGTGGCAAGCCAGTGGCAGGGACAAGGCCAGAGCCCTGTCAGAGCCCAAACAAGCTCCCCAGCCTGATGACAGGCTGCTGCAGAGGGATTAAATCAGGAATGATGCAAGTGAAATAGAGCCCGAACAGCCACTAGGCAAATGAGTGAATGCTAGCTGTGTTTAACTGGCATTAAAAATAAATAAATAATAATTTTCAAGACACTTCCCCCTAGAAGCATTAAAATAATAGGGCAGAAGCTGCTGCATGTGGGACAGTAGCTGTCTAGCAGATGATTTGCTGCATAGCTATTTTTGCTTAGCTGTGATTAACCAATCTTGCCACAAAAAAACACATATCCTAGACAAAGATCTGGGCTAGGGGGAACTGAATTCAGCAGCTCATTAAGGACACAAGGCGACATTCCCATCCCTCCCCGAGAAGCTGATCTGCAGAACAGCCTTGCAGGCTGCAAAGGTGCAATGCCAAGGCACTGAGCAAGCAGCGAGGAAGCGGAGAGGAAAGGGTTCCCCCTCCTGCTGCTCCCTGAAGGTTTAGCCTCCTGTCGACAGTCTGTCTCAGCTGTTTGTGCAAGTGCTGTCCTGCAATGATGCTGTAGCGGTGCCGCGGGGCGGATGCAGGAGCATGCTCACTCCATCACGCATCCATCGGATCACGGTCGGTGAAGGCTCGGTCTGGTTGGGGCCCGACAGAAGGTGCTTATAGAGGGAAACTGGGCAGCACGCTATCAGCAGAAAGCAAAATGGTGGCACCCGACCCTTAGCAAACCTGCTTCATTCAGAAAATTTGGCATCTGGGGCTAGCTGCATTCGGGAAGGAAGATTTACACAGGAGACTGGGAGGTAGTGATTCGAACATCCTTTGGGAAGGTAAGAAAGCCCTTTTCTTCACCTCTGACTTTTGAATTGCTTGTCTTAAATGAATCCTAGCATCAGAGAGCAGAGTGCCTGACTGCAGCACGTACTCGGGTACAGCTGGGCCATTCCCCCCCCTCCTTTTGATGTCGTATCACCAAGTTGTGCCAGGCGCCAGCTCGCAGTCAGATAAACAACCAGCCAGGCCCCGTTCAAGACAAAAGCAAAAGGGAGGAGGAGAGGCTGGAAGGGGGCAGAGGGATCTTTCTGACTGCTCAGGAATACTGTGGCAGCCCACAGGATCTGGGTGCTGCACAAGCAAGGAGCAAGCGCCTTTGATCAGGTCTCCAACTCTCATAAATATACAACAACCAGCTGGGAGAGGATTATCCCTTAATCTACATATTTATAGGGTTTAATTTGGCTGGTGGCTCTGGTGTCACGGCAGCACGAAGAGGAGCCTCTGTAGGGCAGAGCTAGGCTGTATCCTCCTGCGGACTCGGAGGTACCAGTCCCCATCTGCCTCCCTGCCGTCGCTGGACTGTAAGGCCAGCAGCTGCTGGACACCAGCCCCATGCACAGGTCCATTCTTACATCCCCCATTCTTACAGCACTGCCTTAAAACTGGTCGGTTTTCCCCCACGTTTCACCTCCAGGCTGTCTCAGCACCCAGGATTTTACACCTGGAAGCATGAGCTCTTCCCCCTGTTGAGGGGGAGCTTCCAGCAAGGGGCAGGTGAAACAAGGATGGCTGAGAAGGTCCCTTTTAAACAGATCTTCGACATCATGAACTTATCATGGGGCTGCTGGGGTCTGGTCGGGTTTGGTCATGCTGCGCAAGAAGTTTCAAACCCAGCTAATGCCAGGGGACAGGCACAAGTCCCAGCTCAAATTAGGGGGAAAAGTGTTCAGAAAGTGTCCAGCTCAGGGTGGGCAGTGTGCTGCTCAGCCACCAGCTAGGGTTCCTCACCGCAGTACTGGGGGCCAGATTCTGACTTCACTTACCCCAGCATGGGTCAGGAACAACTCCAGCAACTTCCAAAGGGCAACAGCCACGTAATGAGATTTGGCATTAGCATCTGTATGGGAAAGCCAACTTTTAAATCAATTGATGCTTCTAGCCTCCGGCTGGAGGCACCAAGAGGGTGCAGGAGCCAAGCATGAGAAGCTGCAAATCCTGACCTCTGCCATGGAGACCAAGGAAGGGAGCGTGGCTCAGCCTTTGGGTCTGAAGTGCTGGTGCCTGGATCTTAGCTCAGAATGAACCGGCTTCCAGACCTCAGCAGGGTTTGGGTATCACTGTCAGCTTTTGCCAAGCGGTGGCTGAGGTGAGGATGGACTGACAATTCTGGGATCACACCTAAGGTTTGGTCCTTGCCTTGAACACTGACTGCCTTAGAGCAAAGTCACTATAGACCAAGGAGGCAGCTGCCTCCTGGGAGAGGTGGTTGTGGCAGGTGCTTTGGATAAAGTTCTGCTCTGCTGCAGCCAGGGCCTGTGGCAGAAGGCAACTGCAGATGATGTTCCCTGGTACCCTTGATGAGGAGCCCTAGAGCTTGGCACTGCCTCTCAAACTTCTGACGGAGATAAAAATGGAGATAATATGGAGAGAGTGAGGATGTTACCAGGCTCTTCTGGGGTCAGGATTTGTTCCCGTGCCCCTGGCTGGATTTTCCAGCCTCTTGGCTGAACAGCAGCATGAGAGATGTATTGGGGGGGTGTAAATGCAGGGATAGTTTGGAGGTTACTAGGGACTGCACAGTGCTCCAGTACGAAAGCACAGCTGCCGGGTTGCTCTTGGGCAAATCACCTGAGGGTATCCCTCAGGCTGAGCTCACAGGCAAATGGGAAAGGGCAGAGCACACATGGGGTTGCACGTTTTTCCCTGATGTCCCCAGTTCTCTCCACTGTCTGCCATGGAGTGACTTTCTCCTAAACATCACCTGTTACCTCCTGTCTTTTTACCCCCGCATCTTGGCTTGCCTGCAGACCTCTCCCAGAAGAGACGGGGATGGAGTTGCTGGGCAGCCCTACAGAAGACGAGAATACATCCTGTAAGTACCAGCCTGCCTTATCAGGAGTTCAAAGAAAAGCAAGCCTATGGGAACGGCAGCTTGCAGTTAGGGCGAAAGCCAGTTCCCTTGGAGTATCCGCAAAAATTCCCATGTGGGGGAAGAAACCAGCAGAGATTTGAATTTGCTAATCTTTCACAAGAAGCTGGGGGAGGAAATAGGTATCTCAGAAGTGTGGGCACTTTTATCCAGCCATAGCTGCAGGTGTCCAGTACCTCCCAGCTATGATCCACCACCCTTAGCTTCCAAGACCATAGCCTGACACATGCATAATGAAAGCGCCATGTCTTGCACTAAGGATACAGGACAAGGACAACCTGTCCGTTATTTTCCTTTTAACTCCAGCTCCCCCAAATACTTTAAACTTTAATGGGGCGCATCGTAAGCGGAAGACACTTGTTGCACCTGAAATCAACATTTCCCTGGACCAGAGTGAAGGCTCCATTCTCTCCGATGACTTCCTGGACACACCAGATGACCTGGACATTAATGTGGACGATATTGAAACTCCTGATGAGACAGATTCCCTCGAATTCCTGGGGAACGGGAACGAACTGGAATGGGAAGGTAAAAGGCCGGTTTGGGGTGAATGTCTGCAGGGGTTGGGGCTTTTTTTAGCCTCATTTTAACCACTTTTTACACCACTCACCGTCAGCAGCTGGGGACCAACTTCCTCAGCAGTGAAGCACAGCACACACAACCAAGCCCCATCTTCCACACGACATCTGCCCCACCAGGACCCCAGCTATAGCCCAGGCGTCTCAGTGCTTCCATCTGGGGATAGTGGGGGCAGAAGTAGTTCAGGGACTTGCAAACACCCGTCTAGCCATAATTCAGGTTAAGGCATAAGGCTGTGGACACACATGCCCTTCCAGCTGCAGCTGGGCCACCACCCCAGGCTGGAAGGCGCTGCCTGCTAGGCTCTGCCAGTAGAGCTGTCATGTGAATGTTCAAACATCTTGAATAACATGGTCTTTGCTAAGCTGGCTAATTTTGACTGAATCGGGCTAAGAAGGACTCATGCAAGCAGCTCTGCTAGCAGATCAGAAGACAACCAGCACAGGCGGTGCCCTCTTCAGCCAGTATAGATGGATCTGAAGGAAGATCCAGCAAAAAGTCCGGTGCCCGACCTGTGACTGCAGGTACTATAAGCAGCACAAGATGTTAAGCTTATTTCTATTACAGTTTGGCAATGGTGCAAGATTATTAAGAACCACAAACTTAGACAGATCAAAGCTGCAGATGAAGCAGATGATCCTCAGTCTGTGGTTGTTACTGTCTCTTACTGCACACCAAAGCTCTTGCAGAGCCTCTTTGTACATTATATTAAAGGCAGAAATGTTCGTCCCTTTTCCAGATGACACTCCCGTAGCCACAGCCAAGAACATGCCTGGGGACAGTGCAGACCTGTTTGGGGATGGTGGGACAGAAGATGGGAGTGCTACTAATGGACGGCTCTGGAGGACTGTCATCATTGGAGAACAGGAGCACCGCATCGACCTCCAGATGATCAAACCCTACATGAGAGTGGTGACACACGGAGGTGAGGGAGAGGGCGGCCTAATCCTGGCTTGGTGGATTTCTTTCAGTCCACCTTTGTCAAGCTGGAGGGGATGCCGTGACTGATTGGTTTGACTGTCTTTAGGGAAAAATTGCTATTCATTTTGTACCACTATGTGGCAGATAAGCACAAAAGCACCCAGCTCACGCTAAAAACCATATAGCCACCATAGCAATGTTTCAATAAACAAAAGTAGGGATAACACTGGCTCTGAGCAAGACTGAATATATCCCGACCCACAGCCCTGGGTGCGGGCAGCATCACCAGTGCTGAAGGGATTGCAGGTCCTTAACCCCTCTGCAGCTCAGTGCCTGAGCTGTCTCGGGAGGCACAGCTAAAGACCAATACGTCCACAGTTAGTGACCATTTCTGAAATCTGAGCAAAGCCAAGCAAAGCTCTCAGCTCTGTGCTTTGACACACACAAATTCCTTCCCTGAACCCCACGTGCATGTTATAACCAAAACCAGGATCAGAGGCAAATCTAACACAGTTAGTATTTCTGAAATCTGAGCAAAGCCAAGCAAAGCTCTCAGCTCTGTGCTTTGACACACACAAATTCCTTCCCTGAACCCCACGTGCATGTTATAACCAAAACCAGGATCAGAGGCAAATCTAATTGTGAAAGAGGTCCGTTAAAAGGGACAAACACTTACCTAGAGCTGAACAGAGGCACAAAAACCAGCCCAGGCCCAAATCTGGCAATACATCTTTGCTGTTATTTTTCCTTCAACTCTGGAAAGAGTCACTGATGCTGCCCGTGTCTTTCTTTCCCAGGATACTATGGAGAAGGTCTCAATGCCATCATTGTCTTTGCTGCCTGCTATCTCCCGGACAGTAACCTGGCTGATTACCACTACATCATGGAGAATCTCTTCCTGTAAGTGGCTGGTCAAGGTCTATGAGGGAGAGGAGGGCGAGGAAAGTAACTCAGGCTCTGGGGAAACAGCTTCCATGTATTCATTGCATCAGGAACCTCAGCTGGAAATAGTTTGAATCCAGGCCAAATGTACCCAGTGTGCAGCTGCAGACTGGAGCGAGCATCACTGGGTAAGACACTGTCCACAGCATTTGCATCCCAGGCCAATAAATCAAAGCATTCAAACATTCAGTGTCAATTATGCCAGTGATGGACTCACAACCAGGCTAGAGCATATGTATACAATGCTGAACAGCTGGTAGATGCTACTGCTAGACAGCAGAATGGTGCAGGGACACCCATCAGTGTCTGCGCTATGCTAACATGTACCAGCAATCCCTGAGAAATACCCCTAGGCATCCTGCAGAGGTACCAGCTGAATCTGAAACCTGTTCCAAGGTCTATACAGAAAGGGTCTGGAGACCTTTTGGGATAACGCACAGGCACCTGAAGGAACCTCAAGGGACCTTTTCCAAGTCTCATATCCCTGTTGCTTTTGATCACCACCCAACAGATACGTGATCAGTAGTCTGGAGCTGCTGGTGGCTGAGGACTATATGATTGTGTACCTAAATGGAGCAACACCCCGGAGGAGGATGCCAGGCCTTGGCTGGCTGAAGAAGTGCTATCAGATGATAGACAGAAGGTGAGAATCCTGTTGGTGTGGCCTCTTCATTCTTCCTGGTCCTCTTCCACTACTTCCTCCCAGTCTTCCCAGCCACCTCTCCTTCCTCACTCCCCAGATTCCATAATTTCTTCCTCTATCACAGCTTTCTGACTTACTCCGGGCTCTCTTTCATCACCTCCCTCCTTCCCTCACAAGCACCTTCACAGATATCAGGCTAATGCAGCACCCAAGCAAAGCAGTGCTCCTGCAGCCTGCCGGGCCCGAGCTTAAATAGGGTTCCTAAGGCCATGGGCAGGGCTTTTGTCTGGAGACACCCAGCTGAGGCTGGTGAGCATCCTGATGCCTATTAGTGCCCTGACACATTACAGGTGAGTTTAAGAAAAGGTACTTTGAATCTGACTTTCTATCCCATGGCTTTTCCGCAGGCTGCGTAAAAACCTCAAAGCATTGATAATCGTTCATCCTTCGTGGTTCATCCGGACAGTGCTGGCTATATCCAGACCCTTCATCAGGTAAATATAACATGTTTCCAAACTCGGCTGGTTTTGGAGTGGAAATTTAATCTCATGAATCAGATCTTAAGCTCACCTTTAACTAGTAGCGACCAAGGTGAGACTGTTTGTCATTTGTCCTACATCTCTCTGATACTTCCAAGGACAACTCTAGAGGTGGTTTTAAGAGACACTGTGGTGGTCTGGATCCAGATCAAAGCTTGTCCCAGTGGGTAGCGCATAAAGATTCACTGGGAAGCGCAGCAATGGTGGTCCGTTTTCCCTCCTACAGATATTGAGAGGTGGGGGTCAAAGCAAAGTGTGGTACAGTAATGTGGCATCTCACCACAATTTTTAGTCATCAGCATATTAGCACGGGGAGGAGATGGGTACACTCAGACTACAGAGGATACAGGGATGCAGAACTCCCCATTTCCATCAGGAAAATTCTGACTTCCTATGGAGAGAACATCAAAACAAGGCCTCAAGCACACACCCTTTCTCTCTCTCTGCCAGTGTGAAGTTTATCAATAAGATCCAGTATGTTCACAGCCTGGAGGAACTGGAGCAACTTATCCCAATGGAGCACGTGCAGATTCCAGACTGCGTCTTACAGTGAGTATCAGAGGGACCCTGGGGCACACGTAGCTCTGAGGAGGCGCAGGACAAAAATCCTATGTAGCAGAATATTGTGTTGAGTCAAACCCCCATGTATTGGAAACGCAGAGCCTGGGGCGAACCTTATCTCACTCGTATACTGGTGCCAAGCAAGAGCCTGCACACTGTGCTAGTTTAATGTTTCTGTCACCTTCAGAGCAAACATTGCGTTTTACTAAAAGTGAGCAGTCCCGTCTGGGTAACATTTAAAGAACGTTTCCTGTTTGTTGCAGATATGAAGAAGAGAGGATCAAGGCCAGGAAAGAAAGGTAAAATTAATTTCGGGGAAGGGGGGATGGAGGGTGGGTTCATTTTCTTGGGATGTTGTTGCTTTCTCTCATCATTATTTGTGTTATAACCAGTCAATTCTGTGTTCCTCCTACCCCGATATCCCACACAGCCTACACTTATTTTCTACTGATTTTCTCAAAATAAGCAAAAGCTGCAGGTGGGAGAAGCTTGATTAAAAGGTTATTTATCTGTAGAACTGTTCCTCTTAACCCCACGAGTGCACACATCCTGAACATGCACCGTATGTGCTAGCAAAGGTCATCAGAAATCTCTCCATGTATAAAGATGGCACATTTTCCTCATATGACCATGCAAGCTGACCTTAAAGTGAGAGCTAGTGCTTATTTTTAAAAGCCACTTCATTCTGCTAGAGTGGCATAAAGAAGGCCCTTAGTTTACAGTTTGTTCTGTTTCATTTTCTAGACCTGTTCCATCACCAGTGATTTAGGGTAGAAGTGCTGGCCATAAACAGTGATAACAGTCAGCTCCGCTAAAAGGAAAGGCAATCACGGACCGAGGAAAGACCAGCTGGGTCAGCACAAGAGCGATGTGCTATAATAACACCTCCTCGTGCTGGTGAACTGAATGGGAGATGCAGTTTGGGAGGATTCAGTTCATTAGCTGCTGAAAAGCGAGTCATCCAGCGCAAATTAGTCAGCTACCTCCCTCTAGGGCCAACAGAGGCATCCTGAGAGCATTAGGATTATCAAGGCTGTATATCACAGGGACAAGAAGCTAACAGTCATTTCTGATCAGACCTGTAACCTCTTGTCTGAGCTCCAGCTAGCTCCCTAGAAAGGCCTTAGATACTCTACTCTTTCACGCTGCTCACCCCTAGATGATAGATTTCAAATGTGATTTTGTGTTTACAGGGCAGAAGAGAAACAAGACATGGCCGAGAAGGAAAGGTAACTACTCTTTCTTATTTATCTTGCACTTACAAAATAGCTTAAACAGCCTTCGGTGAGGAGAACGGCCCTATTGCTCGGTAGCACCCCCTGGGGAGCCAGGCTCTGCGCTCTCAGATGTTTGGACCCAACAGGACATTTCTCAAGTGTCTGGGTACTGACAAAGCCTCTCCTCTCCCTAACAGCTCCCTGTGCCATCACTTTTGTGATGTTATTGACCTTCACCGATGCGAATGGATTCCTGACGCTGCTTTTTACCTCTGTAAAGCTAGCGAACCCGTTTGGTCATGGACCAGAGCCAGAGGCACCAGGGAACGTTCTCCTGACATTCAGTTGTAGCATTTGCATGATGGCGCAATGCAGAGGGCCAAATACTGCTGTCAGGCACATCTTGGGTGTGCACAAAGGCAAGATACGAGGCTGTAACGTTAGATGGGAAGGAAAATTCTAGGGAGTTTTGGAAGACAGTGTCAAAATCCTATGCCAGGCTAATTTGGCCTGGCGTTGGCTCTGCTTCAGAGTGATATAGCCTCTCCTTTTTTATTCTATCTGGCTAGCTCCTGAGGGGGAACAGTGCATATTTCTGCTATTCTCCTCCCAGAGAAAAAGGAGCTTTGATCAAAATTGCCAAGGTCCATTGGATGAGTCTGAATTGTTCCGAGAAACAAATGGGACCTCAGGGCCAAAAGAGAGGGTGATTAGTTTGTGGTGGAGATTCACTTACTGTTTTGCCGGTTCTCTTCCAAGCAGGCCTGTGCCCCCAGCAGAGGATCAAGAAACCAGGTTTGATTTGTACCTCACTCTTTTGTTTGTCTCTCTCTGTGTGATAGATTTCATTGCGTTTGTAATCCACTAACAGGAAAGGCAAGACTGGGTTAGACCCAGGACCTCTTTAGCCCGGTGCCACCCACCTAGCACAAAAAAGGCACCAGCCACTTTGCAGCAGGGGGGTACAAAACCGGGAAGCTGCTGACACCTTCACCCCGCCGCAGCGCGGCTGCGGTCACAACCACAACCGCTGCAGCTTGTCCCAAAGCACGGACCGGTCACAACTGCAGCTGCTACGGAGGCACTTGAGAAAAGCTGCCCCTCGATAAATCACCTGGCATTTGCCACATGGTAAAGGTGTGCACATGGAAAGTTACTGCAGAGCTGCCTTTACCCTACGGTAACGTTTTCATGGTCCTATACACTCGGGAAAAGTCCTTAGAGAAGAAGAAAGCCCATTAAAGCTATGAATGACATTATCTTTGGCCCTGGTACACTTTTGTAGAGGATTACACCCAAACATACTCATATTTTTTGACATAGTGGGAATAACAAAATTTATACTACAATTTGCTTTCTAAAAATAATTCTGTCTTTCTGTTCCTTCCCAGTATGTCATGAATCGAAGGAGAGTGGAATGAACGGAGTAGAAGAATGACACAGCCTGGCAGTCACCCACGTAAATGACCTTTTGGTATAAGACCTTGCCGCCATCTTCTTCCGAGTTCTGTAAGATCATGGAGCCTGCCTCCCCTGTCTCCAAGATGCAAAGTCCTTTAAACTTTTTGGAAACATTTTACTTTAAAAAAAAAAAAAAAAAAAATCCACAAAACAAAACGAGCCAAGAATAGCACTTTTCAGGACAGGTTCCAGTGTGTTTCAATAATGGTCTGTGGAGAGCTATTAAGTAGTGCAAATAGATACCATGTTTCCTCTTAGTAAGTTAAGAGCATCCTGTAGTCCATTAGTCACCAGCCCAGAAAGAGATATATTTTGTGTTTAAATTATAATCCCTTCCCCTAACTTGCTGCTGGCCAGCACTGAGACATTTTGCTTTAAACTGCACACCCAGTTTCCTCCATACAGACATTACAACAGCCATTGCCCCAGGGAATAACTAATAGAGGAATGAAAAGAGTGCATTTTCGTCCTTCCTATAGCCAGTGTATGTTTCTTCCTGAAAATACCAAGTGCCCACCGGTCTAGGCACCTCTTCCAGCCTTGACCGCCTCAGTTAATTCATTGCCAGTTCCTCTTACTAACTCACACCGAACCATTCCTGAGTAAATGCCATGTTTTTTCTCCCAATTTGTTCTGTCTCAGTTTGTAAGGCACTCTGATAACTTTGAAAGAGGGTCCCATATGGCATGGCAGCCTCCACAGAACCTTCTTATGAGCATCTTCTCATATCAACGCACACACACCAAAAAGGTCTGGTTTTAAGAAGGAGCCTTATGGAAAGGAAAGCTTTTCACGCCTTGTCTTTGTATTGATTTCATGACACTGGACAATCATTCACTATTAATACCTCCTATTGCGGAGACAAGCTGCTAAATGTTTGAAATTTCCTCCTTGCCGTCCCTGGGTAACGAGGGTCTCATCTATAATCATACCTGCCTGGGAAAAACCCAGGTGGAAAATGCTGCAGATGTGGAGGCAAGACACCGTATCTGGGTTCAGCTTCTCAGTTAGCCAAGAGATGCAGACGTGATATTGAGACTCTTCAAATTTGTATTTTGGACTCATGAGGATTCTGTGGGCAAAGGAGGGAAGAAAATTTAAGAAACAACTATTTGGCCAAAATCATTTGGAAACTCCTGGTTTCACCAGAGCCAGCTTACACAAACTGTCTCAAATGCATCAGGTAAAACCCCTTGCAGACAACTGCAGATGAAGAATTACCTGCATATTTCACCACTTAAGGAATATTTCAAGCCTGGCAACCCCAACCCATGGCTATTTGAAATTACCACCGCTTCACTCAGCTCTGAAATCCCCTGGAGGACAATTCTGGCAAAGCAAGGTTTTCCTCAAGATACGGATGTTTCCTCTGTATACACAAAGCTTCTCTTTTTTCCTTTCAGTGAATAAAACTGCTGCAGATGAGATCTTTATTTTCCTGAATGCTACAAAGGAGCACTGAATATGCTTTCTAACGTTACTTCTCATTTGATACATGTTTTTCTCATGCACTTCCGTCACGGATGTATTTAACAAACAGGCCTTTGCATGAAAAACAGAGCACTGCATCCACAGCATTAACCTTAGAAGCTGAAGGTGGTAAAAACTCCGTATTCTGTCTCACCGGCATGTTAATAATAAGCACCAAGCAAGCATCGACCTCCACGGCTTTCTAGAAATTTCACTATGAGCCAGTTATTGACAAAGTGAATTTTGCGCTACAAGGAAAAAACAGCACTTCAGATTTTTTGGAGTTTAGGTTTTATGCCAATAACACCTCCTCGCAAAAGGCATTCTGTCCTAAGCTTTCCAAACAGTCAGCAGACATCTGTTTCAAGACAGAAGCAGCAGTCAGAAATTTTCAAACATTAATGTGTTAACCCGATCTGCAAAGCTGGGTATCCTTTTTCACACACGGTCTGTCAGATGGACTAAACGAACCCACTGAAATTAAGAAAGGACTCTTCTGATCAAGTTAATTTTAGCTCAGACTATAAGCAATCACAAATCTCCTTGTAGTGTAAAAGTATGTGAATTCACTATCTCCCACTGATAACACTTAAACCTAGATTTTCCTTTTCTCTTTTGAGACCGTTTTTATGCATTTAGATAAAAAAAAATCATCTGCTATGCTTTCCACAAAAGAATGCAATGCAGTTGGACACTGAAAGGGAAGTTTACAATTATATAATGAACTGATTGAACGTTTAATAACATTTTAAAAGTACAACTCTAGAAGTCTTTTATGCATCTGTAGTTACTAAACACTTCAGTGAAAAATGTTCACAACATCATGGAAAATACTGCTGTTATGGACACGGACACGGAAGATAAGAAACCTGGATTATGTTTAGTCTTAGGACCTGAAAAAATAGACTGCTTCTTGACCCTCAGCAGTAACCATACCAGAGAATGTGGTTTTTGGTTGTTTTGTTGTTTTGGTTTTTTTCCAAAGAAAAGACACTGTGTCTATAGTTTCTGAAAAACTACAGAATGAGCAGACCTGAAGATGAAACTTCATATTTTTTCAAGTAATTCCTTCAGGGCAAGGTTAAGAGTTCAGCTGTGAAAAGGACATTACCAATTTCATGTCAAGATACGAAGGCAGTCATTTCTTTGAATACAAAAGTCAATTTGTAACTTCTTTGAAACGATTTTTCAAAAAGTGCACTTTCTGATAGAGCACTCTAAGTAGTATGCACTATATTTTAATTTTTAACAAAATTTTATGAGTGTATAAATTTTATGTTACTGGATGGATGGATGGATGGATGGATGTCTATATGTCTTTTCAACATAGAAAAGAACTTGCGACCCATAATGGATAAACTATAGCTAAATGTAAAAAGTGCATTTTTATAGCAACAACAACAAAAAAGTATCATTAACTTCTTTCAGACAGTGATTTTAGATGCTACGTGAAACCAAACTAGCTACAAATTCTTTGACAGAAACACAGAACCAATCAAGTTGGCAGCGTCCCTTTACCAAATCCGGAGCAACATATCTAAGTTTGATGTTGATAGACCTGCGCAGGCTTCAAACAAAATCAGATCTACGTGCTGTAATAAACACAACACCAAATATGCTGCATTCATCTTTAGAAGACCATTACAAATTTGGATCCGCCTCGCAGTGGAGGCCAGAGATTGAGAGTGACTCTCAAGGACAGCTGATGAAAGTTTCGGAGACTGCAGACAGATGATGTAACTGCATCGGTGGGGAGTAGTCAACCCGCGGCTTAAACCCAAGGACTTACCTGACACAAAAGTCAAGCAGTGACAATAGGCCAAACAGAAACCTGAGGTGACTGAAGCCATTTTACAAATTTCTTTGCCAGTTCCTTAAAGAGAGCTGCTCTCAAAGCCTGTTTGCGAAAGGGTTTACCAGCCGAGCTCTGCATTTCCACTGGAGATGCAGTTTATAAGAGAAATATTCTATATCAGCAAAAAAAAAGTTGCTAGTAAAAGTGCATTTACATTAGGACTTTTGCCAGGATATATACATATGTTTAAAAAATAAAATTAAATACTCTACATCCTTTTAGCAATACTGCTATACCGGTCAATGTTCCAAATGTACACCAGGCCTCGTTTCTGCCTCATAAAAACATCTCCAAAGGATAAATATTTTGACTTATGAATGCACTGTATTATATCAAACGGCAGGTATTATCAACAACATTTTTCTGGTCGTGGATTCTACCTTTCATGAGATTTTTCTAATGGTGAATCCATGGATAGCCACATTTTAGCTGCAGAAAAATTTATTTTACACCCGTGATAGCGTATTTACAAAAATCATGGTGTTCTTACTCACAGTCTAATTAATGGCCGAATTTCAACATTCACCCTGCATCAGCCTACAAACTGAAAAATCAGATCCCTTCCTGTACAGTTGATGACAGACTAGGAAATTCCTTCCCGTCTCTTCAAGGTAGTCACAGGACTTGACCTAGCCTTCGGAAATGCAGGCACTTGTCACTGCATTATGCAGCAACCATCAGATTTCTACAGTTAAACTACTTTGTTTTGGCACATATAGGAATCCTCCAGATTTGGGACTGTCCAGTAATTTTCATTTTGATTCACAAGGAAGACACAGGAAATAAAACTGAGATGCTGCTGTATATTCAAGTTGGATAATTAATAGAATTTCTTCTGTACAGTACTGTGTAAATGTGAGTGGATATTTAGAGCATACCTCATTGCAATTTTCCATCTATTTTTTCCAAAGATTATTTGCTTACAGATGTGCATACACATGTATGAGAAAACCTAAGCGGTAAAGGTTTTAAAAGCAACACATCTTCAATTTTACACATCTAGGGACGAAAAAACAAAAGAGTTAATGAAATGCTGGTGGCAATAAGCTCAGATTGGCCTGACAGCAGGTGAAATGTACAGG